CATAACGAGAACGATTGAATAAGCAAATTTAAAAATAAATTATAAAAAATTTTTTTAATCCGAACCTTATTTATTTACTTTTTTTTTTTTTTTCAAAAAGAACACATCAATTCCAGTGGGAGGGACTTTTTTGCCATTGAACAACATTACAATCGGATAAACAACAAACTAATTTTATCCGATAGTTTTTGATGACTGTTTGACGAAAGAAAAACAATAGATGTATATCAAAATCAGATAGACAAATGTTATATATGAACACACACACACACACACACACATAAATAAATATATCTGTCCAATATTATAATAAAAGTGGACAGCAAGTTCAATAAATATGTTTCTTTCGTTTTCATTTTCATTCATTTACGCAATTAATTTTTTTTTCCAAATCCGACTACTCCGTTCCTTTCTTCCATCTTTTTTTTTTTTTTGGTCCTCTCTTTTTTTTCCCCCTAAATTAAACAAGTAACAAAGAAAAGAGAAGTTGATATATACACTATTGAAATCTAATTGAAACAATTAACTATCCAGTCTTTTTTTTCTTCTTTCTCTGTTTTAATAAGTACCCAACTAATAGGCCTAATTACTGGTAACAACGGGTAGAACATCAACTACAGTTAACGGTAGTATCAGTAGCTGTTCCACTAGAATAACTAATAAAATAATAGTAGTAATTAATAGTACGAATAATAGTAACAGTTAATGATTTGTTGTTGATTACAAAAAAGAAGATTTCATCGTTAACTATCAAAACAGAGGCTTAATAATATACACGCATATCTGTATGCTACATACACATAACGCATACACTCACTCAGTTATATTCACTTTCCACACACAAACACACACACACACACACACACACAAACACACACATTCAGTCAGTCAGTCAGTCTCCACCACACTTGGATACACTCTCACTGACACCGAGCAAAGCCCACTGAACCCGTTGTGCTCCCCCCGAAGAGATACAAATGCGCTTTGGGGCGTGTCGACTACGAATGGTCGAGGAATTTTTTGCCTCCTCCCCTCTTTTGCTGCCGTTCTTTCTCTCCACAGATAATTCGTTGGTGACGACAGAGTTTTTTTTTTTTTTTTTT